GACTTACATACAGATTCAACTTAAGAACCCCAAGTCCCCAAGTCAGCTGCTGCTGAAACTGATCAGCGGCTGATTCCAGGAAGCTCAGGGCAGAGCAACTCTGCCTCGGGCTTCCTGTAGTCAGCCGCTGGTCAGTTTCAGCAGCGGCTGAATCTGGACGCCAGTTCCGACTTACATACAAATTCAACTTAAGAACAAATCTACAGTCCCTATCTTGTACGTAACCCAGAGACTGCCTGTATACATTCTTTCATCCACTTGTTTCATACACCATATATTCATCTATCAGACACATAAACCTATCAGAACTAAACACATGTGCACTCCTCACAGGTACTAAAACATATTTGTCCCATAAAGCATAAATATACACTCACATTTCTCAACTGTACCTCCCCTAAGGAGCTCTCCTGTAATAAAAACAGGTTGTATCCTATAATTTTTATAGTGAATTTTTAATTGTAAAACTTTTAAAATATGACTTTTAGTAAAAGTCCTGATTCTTCTCTAGAGGCCAGAACAGTGGCTCTCATCTATTCCAAAGTACTGTATCCCTTTCTGGAGTTGACTCTGTCTTGCCTACTCCACAGTTAGGCTTCACTTAAAAACTATATACTTACAGAAACACACATAAAACACATAAAAACATGTCACAGCACACTATTACAGAAAAAAATAGCTTACTTTACCATTTTTACCATATGCTATATACAGGGCTCATCAAACCATGGCGAGCCCCGCTCGCCAGCCGCGCAGTTCAGCATGCTGCACATGCGCTGATTGCGCTGCGGCGCCGTGCCAGGCTATAATCTACTTGCCCATGGCGAGTAGATTATCTAAATTGTTGAGCCCTGGCTATATATATTATAGAGAGTTTGTCTCTTAGATCGAGATCTCCTCCTAAATGGTAAGATCTGGGACCATATATAGCTTCCTCTTATCACAACTTAAAGTAATGTAAGAGTTTGGCTGTGCCAGGAAAATAGGATGTGCCTGGAATGGGATTGCTTCCCATAAAACCAAACAGAAAAGAGACAGAATCACCAAAGCAAGTACAGTCCTCAAAACTGACATAACTGAGCGAATGTTGAAAGAGACTTAGCCAAGATGAGCCAGAAAAATAGAATGAAACTGGAATAGGATTCCATAAATCTTACAGAAAAGATATAAAATGGAGAAATTTAGAGTAATGCTCTGTTTTGGCATAGCTAAATCAATGCTTAAGTTTTGAAAACTAAAAGAAAATGTTATTGGAAACCAAATTGACTATACTCCTTTTTTGAAAAAACATAGCAAATGACAAGAGTTTATAGGAAGAAAAAAATACTTTATGCAATTCCCATTTTTAAAAAATTACTAAAAAAAAACATTAAACAGAAATCTTTTAACAACCTTTTTAAGAAATCCAAAATAAAAACTAACTTCATAAAATAATACTATGTTTCTGAAAAACATAATCATTAAAATAAAGCAAGTACATTTTTTTTTATTTTCCAAAATAAAAAAGCTTAATTGACTTACAGCCCAAACAACACTGGGTAATCTGCTAATGTAATTATAAAACAAATCAACTGGAATATAAATATTGTACTCACATTTCACTATATAATAAATAGAGAAGTATAAACAAGTTATTGTCTCTATCAAATTTTAGTTTGCAATGACTTCACTAGTATTTTTTATGTAGCCTGTTGTAAAAATAGACAAATATCTAGATTAGTTGATTTACCCCCTGGAAGACCTCTGCGAATCCTCAGGAGTATGCATATCCCTGACTGAAAGCCACCCATACAGAGGACAGCAATTTTTATCAATTCCATTCAAAAAAGGATGTATGATGCTCTTCCCCTTTTCTCTCTCACTCAGACATATGTTGATATTACAAATAATAGCTCCCTAAATTCCAGGGATCCTGTGAGACTATATAATTAAAAGCTACCATAATACAGATGTACAAGGGGCAATTAAATTCTGCCATTTCCAAACTTTCAGGGGTTTTAACTTTGCAATGTAAATAATATTCTTCGAACACAAATTTGTAATGTCTTTTCATAAACCCTTTCCAACACACAGCAAACATTTCAATAAGGTTTTTCCAAACTACAGTTGATACCACAGTCACTCAAAAATGTCTACTGTAAAACTTTGAATGTTAATGTTACTTTTTGGAAAGACAATATAATATGGGTGAGGTCTTTCATTGGACCAACATCAGTCAGTGAGAGAAACAAGCTTTCAAGTTACACAGATCTGTTCATGAGGTCTGGGGAAAGTACTTTAACTGCCACAGCGAAATACAAGGTGAAACATGTTCTCAGACGTGACGAGCTTCATGTAGCAGGAAAGCTTGTCACTCTCTAACAACAGATGTTGGTCCAATAAGAGTTATTACCTAACCTATCTAGTCTAATATCCTGGGATCAATAGGGCTAAAATACTACCGCATACAATAGTGTTGCTTTTTGGTGACATGCTACTGTTATCTTTCTTTTGTAAGTGCTGTTCAGTTTCTTAGCATTAGTCAAATTTAAGAATCCAGAGAAACTAGTTTTGGGACATTTAAATTTGTAACAAAAGTCTCACAATGACATTAAGTCCTAGTTTTTTAAAGCCTTACAAAAGACGTATCCTGCTACTACATCCACAAACACCCAGTAGCTGACCCCCTCCCCCCCCCGAAATGAACATTTATTTTACACCTACACACATCTAGTTTCATACCTGGAGTAGTGGTGCTGTTTTGGTGGAAGAGGGAGACCACACAGCAAGGGTCATCTCTATGGTACACAAGACAGGAACTGTGCCAGTCTGTATGGTTCACAAGCAGCCCCCTGAATGGAAGCTTAAGACTAGTGCAAGGGTGAGGGAGATGCATCACAAGGTGAATCACTCCCATCACTCATCCAACAGAGGTGGGGTCTCTCAAACTGAGGGTGAGACCACTATGTTCCCAAGTTATTACATGGGAGAGTTTGCCGGCTCTCACTCTGCACCCCATATATATATATATATATATATACACACACACACCCGATCTTGCTTCCAGCGTTTGTAATGGTGTTAAACAACATTGTGAATGTATGAAGAGGAGGTCACCCTCTAAGGCAGGGGTGGGAAACCTTTTTTGGATCAGGGGCCGCTGACCCACAGAAAAATCAGTCAGCCGGGGCCACACACAAAGTGAGAGGCCCCTGACTGAGGAGAAACACACTCCCCACAATCCCCTTGCACACCAGAGCCTAGGGGACTGAGGCGAGTAGATTTGTGTGATCCAGCCCTGTGGGCGAGTGGCTGGGGGACTGGAGCACCAGCACGGGCTCCTCAATGCGGAGCCTCGGGGGCCAGATCCAGGCAAGAACCTCTGGCCTAGCACATTCGTTAGCAGCCCAGGCCAGGTGGAAATGTGGAGTGTGGTCCAGCAGCACCCCCCGGCCGGCCTCCATGTTGTTGCCCCTCCTGCTGAGAGGCTGGGGGGTGCTGCTGGAAAAGTGCAGCTCTCTGACACTTCCCCTCAGGCTCCCCGGGACAGCCACATCCCCCTCCCCTTCCAAACAAGGCCCCAAAATGGAGAGGCCCCGCCCTGCAACACGCTGCTCTGCGCCCAGCTTCACCGCCAGGCGGCGCACACCCGGCACAGCGCGAGCAGCAGGGCGCCCCGCGAGTAATGGCCGACGTGCCGCGCATGCGTATTGGAGTGTGTTCCTGCCCCGGCGCTTCCCCACCGACCAACGGCTGGAAGGTGCCCGTAGGCCTCATCCTGTCCCCGGTCAGTGGCGGTTGGCGCGTCGGTTCGGAGATGCCCCAGGAGCCGGGGGAGGAAGGGCGGGAGCAGCGGCGGCTCCTGCGCTCTGTCAACACGCGGGAGCTCTCTCACGTGATCTTTTGCAACCGGA